ATATGAAAAACTTCTCTAAAACTTCTCTTTAACGAAACTCTCCAGACTGGTTGCTTGGCCGAGGTCTACTGATACTGAAGACGGTTTCGGTTATGTAATTCTAAGTAACAGTCTGATTTAGGCGGTGAAAATATATCATGGTGAGAATAACCCTCGGTGTCCTGTCGTGTATTGTTTTTACTATTCTCAAGCAGTGGACGGACGGACGGACGGAATGGCAGAATCTGAAGAAAGAAAATCGGAAACGAGGATATTACGGTTAGTGTGTATTTTTTATTAAAATTTTTTTATTAAATTTTTTTTTTTTTTTTTTGAAACTAACTAATTTGATTATACTAATTTTCTAATAAAAATTATCAAGCGGCGGATGAACGGATGGACGTAGTGGAATGAAGATTGGAATTTAAAGAAAGAAAATCAGGAGCGAGGATATTGTGGTATAGATTTAATTTAATTTTTGGTTTTTGATTTTTTGAATAATTTCTCATTAAATTTTTTTTAATTTTTAATTAAGAATGGGATGGGATGAGATGGGATATGGGAATGTAATAGAGGGAAACAAAGATGTATTTATAATTGAAAAATAATAAATTTATATAATAATATTTAATAAAAAAAAAAAAAATATTTTTTTTTGATTTATTTTATTAAAATTTTTACTTCACATGTTTCATTTGTTTGACAATCGCTATTTTTAATCCTTAAAAAAATTTATAACTATATAACGATTAAATTATTTCCATCATTTCTAAAGTTTAAGAACGAAAAAGAAATATCCTCAAAAAATAAAACTTTAAATTTTTAATAATGTTGCAATAGTTCTGATTTTTCCACATCAATCAACCTAGAATGTAAAGAATCGATTCTCGAAATCAATTTTATTTAAGTTGTTCAAATTTTTCGGAAACTAATTACAAGTTGGTTAAATTTAAATAGTCATATTTGCAAAAATAAATTATTTTTTTAACATTTTCGTTATTTTTTCCGCAGTTACTGCGCCATTCGTAAATGCCGATTTCTTATAACAGCGGTAATTGAGAAAATTTTTGTAAATAATAAGCACCTTAACATTTCTCTTGTTTATACATTTAAAGAAGATAGATCAAAGACACTATCAACCAAATTTCCCTTATGTAAATCTTCATTGTCTTTTCACTTAATGTAACCTAACTTCATTATTATATCTCAATTCTGCACGTAAACAACGAATTTATTTCTTTAATTAGTTTTAACAATCCACATAAATGTATGTTATAATTTATACATAAATGATGTCTTAGTTAATATTTTATTATTTATATAATACAATTCGAAAATTTCATGATATTTAAATATACTTGTGATAATAAACAAAATAATACATGGATAAAATTAAAGATGAAATGTTGAATAATTTTTACAAGAAATGATTTACATAGTGTATGTACTTTCATAACTTTCTCATTTCCACCCTTTGATTCCGGTATCTATAGTGATGAGATAAGAGAGAGCAATTTGCATGATCACATTTAATGCTGTGAACATATGATACAAGAATGCGGTCACGACGGTCAACAAATTCCAATAAATGACGAATGGTAAACATATCTTTTGGATAAGAATCGATACATGATATAACCATCTATAATGATATCAACCAAGGTCAAATTATTGAAATAAAAACCATTTTCGCTTTTCATACCACCATAAAAGAAGTGGTTTTTCAAAAAGATCGTGTGGAGGATTCATCGGAAAAGTATATACAAACTAGTTTCAAAACGAAAAGAAAGAAAAATTAGAATTTATTGCAACATTGCGATGAATATATTATTTAATACCTACATGAAATCCTGCTCCGATCATAAGCAATCCAATGCTCATCCACATGTCAGAATTGCTTTTCTCGTATTGTCTAATAAGTGTCAACATGAAAGCGGCCAAGGATTGCATGATGAAAATCTTAAAAATGATCTGATAGCTAGACCACATACATTCTTTTAAAGAGATGTTTAACAACAATTACGGAGCACGCCAAGCAGCAAAGATTAAAAATAATCTTAAGCAAAGACATTTTTCTTTCCCGTCTAAGCGTGATAAAGAAGAACAGATTTAACAAGGTGTTGAATCGTGAGCTGAAGTGAAGAGTTAGCATAAATATATATGTAGGGTTAGATATTACTTTTGTACAAGATTGACCTCTTTTTGGGAAATACTTTATATTTCACATGAATAAATCAAGATTTTTATCTTTTTAATCGAAGCAAATTGTCAGAATTTTCTAATCGAATAATTTTTGAAAGGGTCGGCGGTTTAAATGAATATAAAATAACTTTGGTTTAAATGATTAAATTTAAAAGATACCCGATCTTATGAAATCAACCTTACAGTTCTAGTGCCTCAATTTACTTTTGCAATTTCTTTGATAGATTTTTTAATTTTTTTTTTTTTTTTTTTTTTTTAGGAATATCTATAGACTCCAAATTGAATCTGAAAGAATACTAAAAATCTGTAAAATTTTTAGAAATGGGAATATTTTCAAAGAGCTGTAATTGTTTCCCTAAAAGGAAAGGAATGCAAAACTGAACGAATAATTTATTTAAATTTTAAAAATAACGATTATATGTAGGACAGTTCATAAATAACAATCTACTAATAAATAAACTATTTGAAACTTTTATTTTTATAATAATTTTCAATAAAAACTAAAGTTCTGGAACACCCACAAACCGAGACTATAAAATTCGTATTTAAATGTAATTAACCTAAAATATTTGGACATTTGGTTATATTATCTCATCACAGTGCAGGTTCTTAAGGCTCTTTTGGTGAACATTTAGGTTCATCGCAGTCGGACTCTGGTTTTTTAGGTCCTGGACATTTAGTTTCATCATTTTCAATGCAATCTGACTCAGTTGGTGAACATATAGTTTCATCATCTTCAACATATGTAGGTTCTGGCTCGGGTTCTAGCTCTTCTTGTGATTTAGGTGATTTTGGTAATTTTGGTGATTCATTCTCACTTCAGATCTATGCCAGGGTTCTTTTCGCAGGAAGAGGATAAATTAAAGTAAATGAATAAAATTTCAATTCGATATTCGAAATCTGTCAACCAATATAGTATATACCTGTAATTTGATGATAAAAATTTTTCTGATTAGAATAAAAAAAAACATCAAATGTTTTTTCTAATATTTTCTCATGAAATTTAAATTACAAATCATATCAAATCTACTTCAATTTTTTCGATCTCCGTTGTTATAAGAAATAAAATTAGACACTTCAATTATTAAAGAAATCAACATGAAAAAAAAAAGTTTAGAAAAAATGTCCGTTTTGTCCCAAAGCTGCTGTCCGGAATTGTTTCATGACCGAATTTTTTTTTTTAATATCGGATTCTAAAAATGGATAGGAAAAATTAATTAATTTTTTCGAAAACAAATGAAAGATAAAATGTTAACCGTTTATTGATCCTCGAAGTAAAATTGCGGAGAGGCAAAATACCATCTAGGATATTATTTATTGAAAGTTCGTAAATAAGCATTACAGAATTATTTGCTGCGGAACAGCAACTCTGACTTATCAGTCAAAGGATATCTTACTTGAGTCAAAAAATAAAATTCACTTTATCAGATAAAATATGAACAAGTTATTAATTTTTATTTTTTTATAAAGTTTTTAAATAATATTACTTTTTATTACATAGATATTTATTTACTTTCAAGTAATAATTAATTATTGAAAGGCTATAAGAATTAATAATCCTTTATTAAAGAGAGCTGCTAAATGAGCATTTTCCCTTATTTAATTTGCAAGATGCCACCCTATCTACTGCCTAAATAGAAGTTGCAGATAAGATTCAGATGATGTGACTTCAGCTAGAAGTATTCAAAATGATAGAGAAAAACTGCATTGTCTCTAGATCAGGTATTTACGAATAGCATCAGAGACTCAATGCAATTATAGAAGAGGTAAACAAAACCTTAAAACTTTAATTTAACCTATTTTGCAATATCATTATTAGAAAATCGTTACGCACAATTGCAAAAAATTCCTTGAGATAACTTTTATTTCAATTAAATTATTAAATATTATATATTTTATAATAAATTATAGTTTAGAAATAACTTATTTAAAGTAATCAGATATAATGATTATTAAATTTACGAATTAAGGACTCAGCTAAAATCTACTATAAAATGCTAAAGATTTTTGAACTTATCTTCAAAGTTTTAAATTTGTGAATCAAAGCCTAAAAGAATACAGATTAAATAAAATTTAATAAATTTCACATATTTAGCAAAAAAGCTTAACAAAATTTCATTACCAAAGTATTTATTAACAAAAATAATTCTCCTTTATTTAGGTTAATACTAGTTTTAAAAAAAGAAACAGAGGCTCAAAAAAGTGAAGAAAATATGATCAAATCTGAAATTTTGCTAAAGATAGAAAGTCTTCTTAAACAGTTTGACAAAAATATTCAAAAAAAATATTTTAGATTGAAATTGAAAAAGTAAAATGAATTGTTATATATATTATAAGAAATAAAACTTGTACTCAATTCAGAGAATAATCTTAGTAATCAGAATTATTTAGAGTAAAAAATTTTTTATAAGAAAATTTTTATTGAGAAATTCTTTCTTTAAGAAATAAAAAATTTATAATGTTCTTAAAAATTTTTTAATTTTAACCAATCATTTTTTGATTAGAATAAATTTAGAATATCCTAATCAATAAATCTTATACTATATTAAAAAATAATTAATATGATATATTTAGTATATTCCCTAACTGTATTGGAAAATAACTTAAAATAATTAAAGCTTTAATAAAAATAATATTAATTTTAAAACACATAGTATATTATTATATGAAATATATATTTTTATTTAGTAATTCAATGACTAATTTTGAATTCCTAATAATATCTAATTTTCTAAATTTTCAATTATTTTGATATTAATTTTTGATAGTTTTATATTCAATTCTAAATTCCAAATAATATTTAAAGAAAGAATAATACATAATATATGATTTGTCTAATATTTAAAAATAGACCTTAATCTAATTGAAATATTATTTTTAGATATACGTAAATATCAAAATCAATTGATGATTCATAAAATATTTTAGAAGAAAATTCTTGTCTATCCTAAAAAGAATTCACAATGTAAAATCTCCAAGCTTTTTAATTATTGACAACTTTAAAAATTCCTTTCAATGATAATATATCTTTATAAAATATAATGTATAATGATTTCATATTAAAACAAAATTTTCATAATTTTAAATTTAAGGAACAATTAAAATTTTTGTAAAAGCTAAATACCTTTATATATTTTTTATTATTTTCTAAAAATTTAATTAAGTATTTATCATCTGAATAATTATATTCAAATGTTAAAATTTGCAATTCTAAAAAGGCATCATATTGAAGTTTATTAAAATCTTTTAAACCACTTATTTTATTAATTAATGATAATGAAAATTCTTATAAATTCAAAAGTTTTGAAATTAGTGACTATAGTATATAATATTATTCTCTAATAATGCATAACTTGATTAATATATTAGAAAATTTTGTAAATGATAGATTTGTTTATGTCAAATAATATATTTTCAAGTACTTTAAATATTTTTGAATAGAAATTAATTCTTCTACAAATTTGAGATAGATTATAAAAAAATTTAAGATAAATATTTGAATAATACTTCAATTTAGAAAGATCTCTTCTTCTCTATAAATGGTATATTTATGTATGAATAAAATCTAAATTTTTCATCATAATTTATTGATTTTTTTAATGAATTTTAAATTATAAAATGATAAAGTTTAAAAAATCTTATAATTGAGTAACTTATACCATTAATTCTAAGACTCTTAATAAATGCTATATAATAAATAATGAATGTTTTGCTAAAATAATAATTTATTCTCAGATAAATTATTTTTAATTTATTAATAAAATAAATTATAAAAATTTTAATTTTTCTTTAAAAAATTTGAATAGAAGTTTTATTCTACCAGTAATATTAATAATAGTTATAATAGTGATAATGATAGTAAATTATTCTTATCTGAATTATCTGAATTAATAATAATTTTTCTTTATGTGCACTTCAGTTTAATGCTTTTATAATTCTAAGTTTTTTCATGTAATGACAATTTTCTTTCACTTGATGCATAAGTTTTTTGCAGAAGTACTTAGTTATTATTAAATAGATTTCAAATAATTGTTATAAGGATACAATTTTCTTTCTGATGAAATTGCTAAAGAATAAAATTATATAATATTATTTTAAAAATTGCAAAGTTAATTATAATAAAAAATTATAATTATATTGAATTGGATAATATAATTATCAACACGAGTTTTTCATTTTTCTATATCTCTTCTAGAACTCTGAAAATATAATTATTTATGTAATTTATATAATTTGTAAAAATCTTATAGATTAAAAAAATTATATAATAATTGATAATCATTTTGATATAATCTTTATATACTGATCTTAAAATTGAAAATCAGTTTGAAAGATGGAAAATAACCTTAGACTCCAAAATTTTAATCTTATTTTTATTTTAAAGTTTTATCAAATAAAAAAAATGACTTACAGTCAACTCTTTCTACAACGAATTTTGATATAACAAATTTTACAATATAATAGATTTTCAGTATCAGACAGATTTTTAAATATAAAAAAACCCTTACTATACTAAATTTAGTAATTAAAAATTTGTACTACATTTAACGAATTAAAGTCAGAAAAATTTATATATAAAATAACTATTTTTATAACAAATTTCTCTATAATGAATTTTTTTTTGATATAACGAAGTTTTGCTTAAAATGAATTTTACTAGATTAATGTATATAAAATTTTATAGTTTTTTGTACTGTTACTATGGAATTCTTCAACTTAGGGTAGTCATATTATTAAGTCTTTACTTG